TTCAGTCATATCATATGCATGCGAAAACTGGACAATGAATAAGGAAGACCAAAGAAGAATTGATGCCTTTGAATTGTGGTGTTGGTGAAGAATACTGAATATACCACGGACTGCCAAAAGAACGAACAAATCTGTCCTGGAAGAAGTGCAACCAGAATGCTCCTTAGAAGCAAGGATGGCAAGGTTACGTCTTACATACACTGGACATGTTGTCAGGAGGGATCAGTCTCTGGAGAAGGACATCATGCTTGGTAAAGTAGAGGGTCAGTGAAAAAGAGGAAGACCCTCAACTAGATGGATTGACACAGTGGCTGCAACAATGGGCTCAAGCGTAACAACCACTGTGAGGATGGCGAAGGACCGGGCAGTGTTTCGTTCTCTGGTACAAGGGGTCGCTGTGGGTTGGAACCGACTCAACGGCACCTAACAACAACAACAGGAGCTATGGTGGCACAGAGATTAAGCACTCGGCTACTAACCAAAAGGTCAGCAGTTTGAACCCACCAACCCGCTCCATGGGAGAAAGATGTGGCAGTCAGCTTCCATAAAGATTCAAAAAACAATCAAACTCGTTGTCATCGAGTCAATTCCAACTCATAGCTACCCTATAGGACAGTGTATAACTGCCCCATAGGGTTGCCAAGGAGCAGCTGGTGGATTTGTAATGCCGACTTTTTGGTTAGCAGCCAAACTCTTAACCACTTCTACTCTATCTTCTAGGGTCGCTATGAGTCGGAACTGACTAGACGGCAATGGTAGGGGTATAATAGGGTTGTGATGACTAAGTTATGACATAGGAACTGTGTGGCACAGACCTTGGTACACAGTTCAGTAAGTCACAGGCTTGATGATGCTGATGCTGACGATGATGGTGAATCCTGGCATAGACGAGTAAGCTCTATGAGTGGGGGTGCCTGGCAAAGAGCAGAAACTCAGTACAGCTTTGGTGAATGAATGAGGTGCATTCCAAGGCTGGCCAACTCATAAATATCAGATGAGGATGGGATCTTAAAGATTAACGATCCCAAGTCCCTTGTTTCACAGATGAAACAAGCTGAGGCCCAGAGAGGTACCTAGAACCGCCCAAGGTCACACAGCCCAGCAGCTGATTCGATTCATGCCAGAGCCAGGAGGCTGGGGAGAGGCAAGGTGAAAAACTGGATGCTGTCTGCGAAGGGGGGCGGGGATGGACGCTTCCTTGAGATTCCAAATGGATGCAGAAAGCTGTGAACCGGCCCGGGCCCGGGGGAGGTGAGGGAGATGTGGTTTGTGAGATGGAAGAGGATGACTTTAGCAGACGCTCTCAGCCCAGAGGGGGGGCAGTGAGGAGGTGGGGTGGGGGAGGGTGAGGGCTGTGAAAGTCAAGAGCTTATTAATGCACAGAGAACGGGTTTAACAGTGGAGGGCGGAGAGAGGAAGGACCGGATTAGAGCGATGCAGCTCAGGAAGTGGATTTGGCGACAGCTTGGCCGGGGTGGGGGGGGGACCCCCAAGGCTGAGGCTCAGAGAGGAAAAGGGCGGGACTTTCACAGAGAACAAACGGGGAGGAGAGGAGAATGGAATTCTGTGGCCTGCATAATGGGGCTGTGGGTCTGAGGCGCCTGAATTCCCTGGGTCTCTAAACTTTGCTCTTCCCTCCCTGACCTCCTGAAGGGCCCAAAGTGCCCGTTACCACTGCCCCCTCTCCCCCCATTTTGGTCCTCTGACCAGACATCTCTGGGTATGTCCCACTCTTGCTGACACCCCATAAAAAGGAGAAACCCCTATAATTAGGTGTGTCTGCGTAGAAGGAATTCAGAGCCCTCTCCTGGGTGGGCCAAGTTGGGCCGGGCCGAGGGCAAGACGGTGCAGCGAGGCAGCTGAAGACCTGAGCCAGGAGTGCGGCGGTGGCAGGAGGCAGGGAACACTGGTGTCAGAGGCTGAGAGAGGGTTGAGGGGGACGGATCTCAATGTGGCCATGAGGAGGGCTCTTGGCAGGCTCAGTTCCTGTCCCGGAGAGGGTGGAAGCCAGATGGGAGGGGGCGAGCACACGTGGGAGCACAGGAAGGAGGAGGCTGGGGGTGTGGGCTGGGAGTCAACGCCCTTCCCGCACCTGAAAGCCTCCGACCAGACTCCTGGGGTGGGGTTGGGGGTTGGGGGCATCGTCTTCCCAGGCAGGGACAGGAGGGAGGACCACAGCCAAGGCAACAGAAGGGTGCTCCTGTCCCTAGAACCAGACCTCCTGGGACCTGCTGACCCAGTGGGGCCCTGTACAAGAGAGGTGTGTCTTGGGCTGTGGGGTCAGGGGGCTGGGGTTCTGGCCCCCTCTCTGGCAAGCCTGTCAGCTCTCTGGGCTTCAGTGCTCTCCTCTGTGAAAAGTGGGCTGGGCTGGTGGGTCCCTATGCACTAGCTCCCAAACCTGGCCCATAAGCTGGTGAACTGGTTAAAATGCACAGTCTAAGCCCCCTCCCCAGACAAGGCATACCCCCCCCCCC